TGTACATCCTTGCATGGGTAAACTTGGCCCTTACACAGGTATACACTATAGTTTGTCCATCTGAACAAAGACATACAGTGATTAGTACAGAGTAGTAAAATAAAAAGAAATACATTTACGTTTGGGTGCAGTCGTTTATGCACTAACTCATGAAAACACATGTATATACGTGTATTTGAGTGTATAATACAACACTGACAACTAGAAGAGCATGAAGAAGAGTTTTTTGCATCTATACGCATACGCACATATACACCCCTATACGTGTGTATATGCAAGATCTTTATGGAACATATTACTCTTCCTGTCAACAAGATTCTGAGGACAAACACCAGAAATTATGTCTATGTGCAAGAGTCCTTAGTTATTATTAACTCCGTCTTTTGAAAATTGTTAGGAGCTTGAGGTTCTGGGGTTTTTGGGCAAAAGAGACATGCAATGTCAATTTTGCCAAAAAAACCTTTCCCTATCCTTAAAGCCATTTTTTTCTGTGGCAATATTTTAAGTGTACATCCTGACTCATTCTCATCACTCATGCATAAGAGAGACATTATCCCCACCCAGCCAATGACAGCGGCTGGTGTTCAGGACGCAGAAGCTGGCCGCCCAAAGATGTCTGCAACTAGGTTGGGAGCTCCAGGACAGCGCATCGTGGGATTGGAGGTGAGCATAGTTTCACTTTACCCTAGGCTCACACCTAAGCGTTTTCCACAGCGTTTTGCAGAAACGCACTACAGTCCATTTAATATGATTTCTTATGGGACACATTCACATCGCCACATTTTCATCTGGTGTCTTTTTTTGGAAAGGGTCAGGGACTGAATGCAAAAAGTTGCATTTTTGGTTCAATCGACTTCAATGGAAATGCTGCAGAAAAGCATGTAGTGCAATTTTGTTGCGTTTTTGCCACGTTTTGATATATTTTTGATGCATTTTGTGTTTTAAATCTGTCTAGCAATGAGAAAAAAAAATTAAAAAACACAAAACACATCAAAAACGCGGCAGAAACGCAGATGCAAAAATGCAAAATGCAATGCAGAAATGGGTCCAATGCAAACTGCATAGGTGTGACCCTAGACTTAAGCACCAAACACTCTACTGGTTACTTGCAGCATTGACCACTTGCGAATTTTTGGTAGTGCTCATCCCCTGATGTAAACCCTGGTCTTTTGATACAACATTACATGCACCCCTTTAGACTTTAGATTTTTAAACTTTAGACTCGGCATTTAGTAACTCTGAAGAATCTTTACTGAAACTTCTTGCGAGTACAGAATTAATACAACACAGTGTCCTACATTTCATTACAGACACAATTCCATTTCCTTCTAACTAAGACTGTCTATATCATACCTCTAAGTAAAGGAGAGTCCCATCTGTGAGGTCTATATTGCAGTTCCGCCACTGCGACTGGGTACCCGTAAAAAGGGAGACCACGTATTCACTGTACAGCTACACATTGCAGCATACCTTCTGACCAGTTCCCATGTGGAAGAACCAACCACTCAAGGCCAAGAGCCCAAGGTCCAGAAAGGTTGCCTCCCCTTGTATTTATAGTCCCACCACAAGGGGCATATCCATGAATACCCAGGAATAGGCGGACTTAACTTCTTCCTAACTCCTGGGCATCCTGCTAGCTCACTAACACAATACTGGCATAACAGATTGACTAATACGTATTCTACATTCCTCTTAAACATGAAGTGAACTTTATTTTACAACATATACCTTTAAGCACCTGCTTACAAGTGTGCTATAATGTACAAGTATGGTTTATTATTATAATACGGCAGGCCTACCTACGGTACGTAAAATTTATGTTTAATCCTTAATTTATTTTACCTGATTGTCAGAGGGCAACTCTTGGAGATAGAAGTTAGAAGTTATTATCCTTTCTGAGGTCTGTTATTAGCTATCCTGTTGTCTGCCTAAACTCATGATGACAGCACACTATGGAATTCATTTACTAAACAAAAAGTGACCATTCACAAGGGAAGTTGCATTGCAATTTTCTCCATAGGTTAGTGAATCTGGTGGAATTTAACTTTTTTAAGTATACCCAATCATATACGGAAGGAATTAAAAAGAACAGCATCTTTGCTTGCACATGACTGGATGATCAAAGTCAGCAAAGTTTCACCTCATTCATTAAGCTTTGGGGAAAGTTCCTTGCAAATCAAACAGTCTATTTTTCTTTAGCAAATCAACCTCTATGTTTTTAGTACCTTTACATTGCTTTTAACTACAGAGTTTTGTTTATGTGATACTTTTAGCATTACTATAAACAATAACAGCCAACAAGAGATGAAAATATCAGGTCATTTCATCAGCTGTCAGACTTTCAGACTTCATGCTGCCTTTCACCTCTAGCTCCCAGTACAAGAATGATGAGTAAAGAAAGTTAAATGAAGACTCTGCATTGTGTAAAAATGCTGTTTGATTGTGACTTCTCTGATCCTCCCTTTCTTCCAGTGTCCCTTTCTTATCTCCTGATAAGACATATCATGTGGAGTCACTCTGCACATGCTCAGTTTTGTGTGTATTGCTAGAGAGGTTTGTTTTTTTTCCGTGGGAGAGTGCATGTGATCAGCACAGGGCCAATCAGTACTGTCCAGACAGAGGTCAGGGGTTCTGCATCCTCCTAGAGCAGCATGAGAACTCCTCCTACAAGTTTTAACCATTGCTCTGCTGAAGACTGATAGATGTCGCAAGACTGCTCTAACTGCTGATGAGAAAAGGTATTTAGCAGTTTATATTTACTAAAATAATTGCATTCCCATGTTCTGTATGCTGTCGGAGACCAGATATAGTGAATGCAGGGTCCTGGGTTTAGTAACACTTTAAACAAAAGAATTGGTGATAAAGAGCTAGTTTTACAGATTTATGATAATGTCATACTGAGGATAATTTACTAAAGGCAAATAGGCTGTTCACACGAAAGTTTCCTTTACAAGAGAAATTTCCCCAGATCTACATGAATGTGGTGAACTTTCACTTTGTAAATAAAACCCAATCACATGTAAGGAAGATTAAAACACGGCAGTTTTGTTTGCACCTGATTGGATGATGCAAGTTAGAATAAGTTCTGGGATAAAATCCCTTTCAAAGTGCAGCTTCCCCTGCAAACTTATTTGCCTTTAGTAAATCCTCCACACTGTGTCCTAGTAAGACATGAAGCCAAATTTCACAGTATATAAAAACCCACTTGGGCCAAACTGTTCTTTAAAGATGAAAATGCAATGGGGTTGGTTTACCAAATAGGTTGTCCATTTTGCAAGTTTTTTTAGTGAATGAGGTGGAGCTCTGCTGACTTCCATATTCCAATCATGTGTAAGAGGTTTTGTTATTTTTTTGGGACATGATTGGGTACTTTTTGCAAAATGAGTTTTTACCAAATTCACTAAGTAAAGGAAATGTCCCTTGCAAAGTGAACAGCCTATTTGCCTTTAGTAAATCAGCACCAATGCATACAGCTTCTAAATGTCTTAGGCTCACTTTAAACTTCTTACTGATTTGAAATAAAATGAAGATGCATCACAAAATGTTGCTTTAAATGTGCATAATAAGATTAAAATGCTTTAAATTATGTCACATGCTATGTTTTTTGTCTTATGATCAAGAGTAATTAAATTGGAATTCCAATCTCTGGGGGACAGATTTACTTGTTCTTGAGAACTGCTGACATGCAATAATACTCAAAAGAGCAGATAACAAAGAAGACTACAACTAACTAACCATAACAAAGTTGCAACATGTTGTGGCATAAAGAGGAATACATGAATTTTTAACCATGTTTCCATCTTTTCAGATGCGTGGATTAAATGTAAAAAAAGATTTCTCCTTTCTAGGTCTTTTGGTAAGCCTTACAAGCTATCCATAATGAAACATCACTCAAAATTTCACTTTGTGGTCTTGAATCACTCACAAAGTTTAGGCAAACATGAATTACTGTTGTGTACTGTTCTATATTAGATGGTGTATTCTTTTGAAACCACAGAAACAAGTCATATTTCACTTAAGCCAATGCTGTTTTTTTTTTTCCTTTTACCGGTTCTGGAATTTTATCTTTCTTTGTGTTGTGTTTCCTTAATTTTCTTGTTGGTGTAACTACACATGTGCATCTGTTTATTGTATACAGTATATTTTATGATCTGTACCCGATTCAGCAGTATGTGGTGTATTAATCAATAAGTAGGTGAGGATAGGAGTAGAAAGAAGTAAAAAAAGAGTATAAATCAGTTTTAGCATATCAGTAAAGCATATCAATAAAATTCCTATGAAGCCAAACCCCAACAGAAAAAAAATAGGAATATTTCTGATATGCAGAAGTCAAAACCAACAGATATGTAAAACATTTAAAATTTTATTAAAAAAAAGAAAATTAATTTATCTATATTGTAGGAGCACCTGGTAAGAAAGATCAATGCGTTTGAAGATTTGCTTAAGATTTGCTTAACCTCCCTAGCGGTCTGATTATGTCCATATTTCTGTGCACAAAGCGGTACATTTTTTTTGCATGGAAATATGTATTTTTTTATTGTAGACCTGTAATTTTTAGGAATAACTCACTGAAATCTGTCCGAACAAGAGTCTACTAAACATCCTGGGTATGTTAAAATTTGAAACACGAAATCATAAATTATAATTTAATAAAAAATAATAATATAATAATAAATTTAATTCAATAATATAATCAAACCAAAAACACTGAAATTTGAAATATAGCGCCAAGTTCGCACATCACTGAGCAAAGTCGCAAAATCGTTTTCAGTGACTGATGACGAATTTCCCCACGAATCATTATCAATTGAGTGATTCTGCAAGTGGTTCTAATTTACTATCGCTGTTTACTGTCGCTAATTTACTCTCTAGCCTAGCTGGTCTAAAACCGATTTTGACCTAAAGGGGCGCTTTTTGGACGCCATGGACGTTTCTCAGTTTCCAGGCAGAAAGAACAGTAAAGATGCAGGCAGGGCACAGGACAAAGCACTAGGGACAAAATGTATGTGAAATGGTTTGATACAGTAATGTTTTACCATGTGATTTTAGTGAATGTCACTTTTTGTCATTTTCAAATTTCCCACAGTTCCGTCCCCGTAAGTCCCGACGTCGCAGGAGACGGAACCCAGAAGACAGATGCCGACATCCACCAGAGGACATTACAGGGGACACTGCAGGAGGGACATCGCGGGAGCGCAGGACAAGGTAAGAGAAGAACAGATCCCGGAGCAGCGCCGCATGGTAAGCCCGAGTGTAGCTCGGGGTTACCGCTTGTGGTACTGAAGCTTTACCCCGAGCTACACTCGGGAATACCTCCAGGGAGGCTACAATATTTACCAGTTAAGAACATCAGATGCAACCAACACATTTTGGGGGATTTGACTCCGCTTCTTCAAGGCTTAAAATTATTACAAAAGAATCAAGATGAATGTTACTTGAAAGCCTGAAGTCATAACCTGACTAAAGTGAAGGCAGCTGACTAAATAGGCTTTGGCAGGTAGTAGCTGGCAGCAGGCTGGGTGGCTCCTTAACTGGAGACTTTACCTTTCCTGAGGATATTTATTAATGACCAGGATGTATATCTTGTGAACAATCTACTATAGTCCATCACATGAGAGTATTTTCAGTGTTTAAATTGCATATGCATCCCTGAAAAAGTGAACTTTGTTCCAAGAAACATGTGAAGTGAAAAATCAGCATATGCTGATTAAATTAACCTGCATGATGAAGAAGGCTTACTGTAAATCTGTAACAAACCTTAACACAATATTCTATATGATGAAAATATGTATGATGTTACTTTTATACTGCATATCAAAATGATCAGTAGAAAGCTTTACTCACATTAAATAACCAATAGGGAACTGCAGTTTCCCATTTGTCTGGATCTATTGATCATTTTGATATTGGAAATAGACATTTAGGATTTTGGGCCAGTAAAAGCAGACCCCATATTTCTCTTTTTTTCTCTCTTAGCTAGCCTTAAAAATGTCCCCTGCTCCATCTTAGCACCTATGCTGACTAACCTGTGTATAAAAGATGTATATACCTACCTATTTACATCCCACTCTCCGGCCAAGTCATGCAATCCCCTTTTTAGCCAACGACAGCTGCAGGAGAAAGGAGGAAGCTTTCGACAACGGCTGGTAAAGCATGGAGCAGTGACGTCACCATCGGACTCCCATGTCTCAGACGTTGTCACCATTTCTTCCTCTTGCCTGTAGCTGCCTCTGGCTGACACAGGGGAGCTGTAACTGGAGCAGAATGGGTTGAAAATAGGTAAGTACAGTCATGGCCGAAATTGTTGGCACCCTTGATATTTTTCCTGAAAATCAAGTATTTCACACAAAAAAGGTATTGCATTAACACATGTTTTGCTATACACATGTTTATTCCCTTTGTATGTATTGGAACAAATATAAAACAGAGGCAGAAAAGCAAATATGACATAATGTCACACAAAACCCCAAAAATGGGCTGGACAAAAGTATTGGCACCCTTAACTTAATATTTGGTTGCACACCCTTTGGAAAACATAACTGAAATCAGTCGCTTCCTATAACCATCAATAGCTTCTGACACCTCTCACCCGGAATTTTGGACCACTCTTCCTTTGCAAACAGCTCCAGGTCTCTCTTATTGGAAGGACACCTTTTCCCAACAGCAATTTTAAGATCTCTCCACAGGTGTTCAATGGGATTTAGATCTGGGCTCATTGCTGGCCACTTCAGAAACTCTCCAGCGCTTCTTTGCCATCCATTTCTGAGTGCTTTTTGACGTATGTTTGGGGTCATTGTCCTGCTGGAAGACCCAGGATCTTGGACGCAAACCCAGCTTTCTGACACTGGGCCCTACAGTGCGACCCAAAATCCTTTGGTAATCCTCAGATTTCATGATGCCTTGCACACAGTCAAGGCACCCAGTGCCAGAGGCAGCAAAACAACCCCAAAACATCATTGAACCTCCACCATATTTTACCGTAGGTACTGTGTTTTGTTCTTTGTAGGCCTCATTCCGTTTTCGGTAAACAGTAGAATGATGTGCTTTACCGAAAAGCTCTATCTTGGTCTCATCTGTCCACAAGACGTTTTCCCAGAAGGCTTTTGGCTTACTCAAGTACATTTTGGCAAACTGTAGTCTTGCTTTTTTATGTCTCTGTGTCAGCAGTGGGGTCCTCCTGGGTCTCCTGCCATAGCGTTTCATTTCATTTAAATGTCGACGGATAGTTCGCGCTGACACTGATGCTCCCTGAGCCTGCAGGACAGCTTGAATGTCTTTGGAACATGTTTGGGGCTGCTTATCCACCATCCGGACTATTCTGCGTTGCAATCTTTCATCAATTTTCCTCATCCGTCCACGACCAGGGAGATTAGCTACAGTGCCATGGGTTGCAAACTTCTTGATAATGTTGCGCACTGTGGACAAAGGCAAATCTAGTTCTCTGGAGATGGACTTGTAACCTTGAGATTGTTGATATTTTGCCACAATTTTGGTTCTCAGGTCCTCAGACAGTTCTCGTCTCCTCTTTCTGTTGTCCATGCTTAGTGTGGCACAGACAGACACACAATGCAAAGGTTAAGTGAACGTCTCTCCTTTTTATCTGCTTTCAGGTGTGATTTCTATATTGCCCACACCTGTTACTTGCCCCAGGTGAGTTTACAGGAGCATCACATGCTTGTAACATTCTTATTTATCCGCAGTTGTGAAAGGGTGCCAATACTTTTGTCCAGCCCATTTTTGAGGTTTGTGTGACATTATGTCGAATTTGCTTTCTTTCCTCCCTTTTTTTGTTTTGTCCCAATACACACAAAGGGGAATAAACATGTGTATAGCAAAACATGTGTTAATGCAATACGTTTCGTGAGAAATACATGATTTCCTGGAGAAATATCAAGGGTGCCAACAATTTCGGCCATGACTGTATATGCATCTTTTTTACATAGGTTAGTCATCATAAGTGTTAGGAGGGGGGAGGGACATTTTAAGACTAGGTTTAGGCTGCAATTCTAATTTAAGCAAGTAAGACTAGCCATAGGAAATAATTACTGTATATTGGTATGAAGGCTTAACCAGGGCTTCTTTTTCAGCAGGAACGCAGGGGAACTCAGTTCCGGCACCTCCAGCACTGAATGTATGTAATGACAAGGGGTGCTTGGGTGTGCTGGAAGGTCTATAGTTGCTGTTTGCTGTGAGATCTATTCTTGCTGGAGGGCATCTATCTTTGCATAACAGTCTATTGTTTCTAGGGAGGTTTATAGATGCTGGGGGGCTTATATTGTTGGGGGGTCAATTGTTGCTGAAAGGGATCTACTGTTGAGGGAGGGGTCTATATTTGCTTGCTGCTGGAGAGTCTATTGATGCTGACTCCTGGGAAATTTGTTGTTGCTGCCAGAGGTCTATTGTTGCTGGAGTCCATTCTTTTTCTTGGGGAGGGTCTATTGTTGCTGGGGAAGGCCTTTTGCTGATGGCTGTAGGACATCTAACTTACTGCTGCTTTTCTTGTTATCATAACAAATTCCATACAAATTACTTAGCACCACAAAATGATACTGAGCTCTATATTCTCTAAAAGGGGCAGTACTGGGAGGTGGGTAGGGGCAGAGTCAAGAAATGACTCAGAAGGGGGAGTTCCTCCACCTATTTTCTGAGATAAAAAGCCCTGGGCTTAACAGAGAAACTGTTAGACAACAGAGATATGTTGCAGCATACGTATATGTGGATACCATACCATACGTATACCAAACCATACCATACCACACCATACCATACCATGCCATGCCATGCCATACCATACCATGCCATACCATACCATACCATACCACACCATACCACACCATACCACACCATACCATACCATACTATGCCATACCATACCATACCATACTATACGTATACATGTATGGAGGGAGGCCTGACATTTCTACTGCCTTATTTTCAATGGCTTCTGCCACCCATAGGACAGCAGCATCAGTCATGTATTATCACAGCAGAATAGCCAGCCCCCCCAGCACCTCCAGACTAAGCCATACTTGCTGCTGCAAATTTTTATAATGCAATATAATATAACTATTCCATTTTATTTATATCCACACCCAATCACTAAATTATCATTTAAATTAGTGGTATACAAACTGTGGCCCTTTATCCAGCCCTTGAGGCACCTTTCTTCCCACTGATACAAGACACTATTCCTCCCACTGACACCAACAATGGGGCATAATTCCTGCTACAATGGCCACAGACTGGCCCCCCTAACATCTGATGGACAGCAAACTTTGTTTAGAAAGTTTTGAGACCCCTGGTCTAAATGTATGAATTAGTGCTGCGTTTAAACCACTTAATGAATTCTCATTCCAATACATCAAAACACCAGAAAATTAAACAAAAGTGTAAATATTGCAATCACAACACATAAATGTGAAAGTTCCAAAACAATTTCAAAAGTTGTTTTTAATCCTTTTAAATCTTCTGGTTTAATTAAAATGATACTTGGTGATCCTGTCATAAAGACCTTTGTTTAAGCACTTCCTGCCATAGAGTTAAACCTGCCTCCCAATTCTGCAGTGTCACCTTTTCACATGAGTTTAGTAGACACTACAAGCATTAATGCAAACTCCTATTGTGCAGGCATGTTCCACCTGCCTCAAGTAAATCAGTCCAGGGAAATAATGTTCAGGTGGAGTAAGTGCTTGTAGACAGGTAGCGGCTGAAAGAGGCTAGAGTAGATCAGTATTACTGAGATGCACAATACAATACAATATGTAAAAAAAGGTGAAAACAGCATTTTATAATAAAAAAAATTGTATTTATGCGTCGTACACAGGGCTGAATTTACAAAGACATTCAGGGAGATATAGTGCAGAGCTGGTACAGATTAGGGAGATGCAATACATCAAGTACAGACAACATATATGCTATTTAATAGCATCTACAGTTGTAGTTGCAGTTCCACTATAGTGCAATGTAGCTCTGCCACTGTAGAACATTTACCTTAAAACACACAATTTGTAAGATGAAAACAATTACCAAAACAATAAAAATATTACAAATTTAAATTGTAAGCTCCCAGGATCAGGCCCTCCTATCCCTCTTGTATTGAACTGTATTGTTGCTGTATCATCTCCCGTTATATTGTAAAGCGCTGAGCAAACTGTTGGCGCTATATAAATCCTGTATAATAATAATAATACTACAAATGAATGCAGAAAGAGGCCAAGTGCTGGGGATTAAAAATTCAAATCAAAATAATGCTAATCCTTTGATAAATAATGTTAATGTCATATCTATTTTGGATAATTTCCTGATTCACCAGGCCAGGTCGATTCTTCAA